GTGGAGAATGTAGCTCGACTAAATTGATCTGAGTATGTACTGCAATACTTGATATGGATTTTTCCAAAATGTGAGCACTTAAGCTAGACAAAAATATTTCCCCTGGGTTCAGCCATTCTATGCAGACCGGCTCCTGCTTTCTAAGGCACCATCTGAGCAGAACACAATCCCAAAGTGCCGTGCTGCAGAAGCATCCTTATGATTTTTCAATGTAGAACATGCACTTCAAGCTCAGTCTTCCAGTCAACATTTTTGGGTCCTTTACAAGCCGAAGACATGCCCCGTCATTAAACTGCAGTGTGTTGTACGGGGTATTTTAGTACAGAAGGAAGGGCTTATTTTTCGAAAGGGAGAAATAATTGTTTTGCCAGATTTAAGAGATTAGCGCCTCACACAGATAGTGAATGCAAAGGTCCCGTCTGTTCACGCGTGCGTGTGTGCATGTGTGCGCACAGCGAGGAGTGATTACTAGGCCGGCATGTACAATCCCATGATCCTGAGGGTACGCTATCATCAGACAAGCCAGTGCCAGGTCGGGGGGCCTGTGCTCCGGTGTTCTGTGCCTAGCAAATAACTGGAGGGGTTGAGCTAAGGGCGTATGGAAGTCCTACAGACCGTGCCACCTAGAGAACTCTTTCTTAATGAGGAATGTAACAATGTGTAGGATCACATTTTTTTCTGTTAATATTTCAACATTCTTCGGGCAATTTACTGCATTTAATCACTCATCAAAAGATGAAGAGGTGGCCTTTTTGCTTTTCTATAAAGAATTAATATGGTGGCTACAATCGGGGGAGTCGCTGAGGATGCTCAAGCCCGGGGACAGAGGTGCAGGTTGAGGAGGGAGACACGTGTTAGCTGCGCTGCACGTAGACACGGGCTGGTTTGCAGCGACTGCACCTACTCTAGTCACTCAGTTTGGCTCTTAGGTGGGGATTCCCAGAACCAACCACCAGTTGGCTTAACGTAACCGACATTAGATTCCCAACCCTCCTTCCCCTCAAATCGTCAACCCACTAACCTTACAACGAGAGTTAAACCAACCCACTGCTAAAAAACCCCAAAACCAAAAACCATAAAATTTTAAAAAGGGCCCAGATTCCATCACTAGTTTTGCTGTCCAACATTATGAGGGTGGATCAAATCCATGGATGAATTTCTCTGAGCTGACTACGAAATACTACGTTACCTGCCTACATTCGAGTACGTATACTAGTTCTTACGCCAATTATTAGCATCCTTTACTTAGCAACAGCTTACCAACATGTGGAGCCGTTTCAGCTTTGACCGGCGTCTGAAACAGGCTTGACGAGAGGACGCGGAGAAGATAGGCAGGGTTTGCGTCGGGCTTCAGCCCTGACACGGCCCCACGGCCGGCCCAACGGAGGCCGGGCTGGAAGCCCTTGGTTGCGGCTTAATGAGGGGGGGACGTTTTATCCAGAGGCTAGTAATCCCTTAAAGGAGTAAGAGAAGAGTTAGCACTGACCCACTCTCTGGTGCTTTGAATGTCACAACTGGGGTCGCCTTCGTGGAATTAGTGCAGCCAATATGCAAGCGTCATAGACCCCGCCAATCACCACGGAAGCCTCCCAATGTGGCAAATAACAATGGATCCAAGAAAGCAGGGATCTGGGTTACTTCAAGGCATCCCAGTGACTGAACAGGTTTCACTGCTTGTCCCCAGGGAGCTGAGTACAAATTAACTAGCCCTGCTGACTCTAAGTTGGTAAATTTGGTAGAGCCTACGTGTTTTGTTCCTCTGACCTCATCTTTCAATGAAAACTCCCAGTAACTGTTTACCCCACGCTCCTTTAACTTCACGTAACTTGGAGGCCATACTTGATTCTCTCCTTCTCACACAATCCTTTCAAAAATACCTTGGTCTCCCTTGGCTATGAAAACCGGTTGAGCCTGACGTTCACCCAAGCTCTAATTCCACGGCTGGGCTTGGGCCTCCACTGCCAGTCAGGGTAGGGTCTTCTCTTGGAGTTTGGAGTACTTTGTTTGCAAAGCCCCCTGGACAGATTAGGACTGAGTCATTCATCTCATTCGATCTGTTCTTCCATATACACAACACAAGTCAATGTTTGTTATGACTTTCTTGATCCTTATTTATAAGACAATACAAGAGGAAACCATGTGTGTGTGTTTGAAATAGAAATGATACACTGCACAGATATAGTTCACCACGTTCTGGGATGGGTTGTCAGTGTTCAAATGGGGAGTCTGAAGAGTAGGAACAGATGCTTTTTTTCCTTAATGGCTCTTTCTCTAATTTAAAATCCTTCCATTTATTTCCCTAAGATTTAGTGATAACTTTAAACACTTTAACTAAATTACCCAGCGGCTTGGCAGCCATCACAGAGGCAAATCTTTTTAGAAATCCTAGCAATCTGTTAGATCATGGGTACTATGATATAAAATCTGCATGCTCCACATACAAAAATCAAATCAGTGCAATGGATACAAATGCATAATGCAAATGGTACCATTTCCAAACTGAGGGTACATGACCTGCTTCCAAATATTGAATCTCTATGTTTTCTTTCAGTCATTGACTTTCTAAATTTGGGCCAATTTATTCTCATTATTCCTAAGTAAACCTACTTTGATTTTTTTTAACAGTTATTTTATAATCAAATAGAGCCAGCCAGCCCTGATTCATGGATCCTGATGTTGCTAGGATACATGGTTTGGTACTTGATGAAACTATATCACTTCAAAAGGAGAAAACTTTCAAGTGTCCTAGAATATGACACTCCCGTCTTCCCCTGTGGAAGACAGGCCCAATCCTAGAGCTTCTCGGAAGCTCACAGACTGCAGGATTGGCCTCCCCTGCTTGGAAATAAGCAAGCATCCTCTCTCGGGGGGCTGTGCAATTGCTAAAACTAGTCAGGTTGGTCTTAAAGCAAGGAACACGCGTATTTATAATAAAACACGTTTTCATGTTTGTTTTACAGTGAAGAGAAAAAAACCCAGAACCCCCAGATTTTATGTACTTTGAAAATATATTTAAAAACATTAAAAATTCTATATTTAAAACATATATTATATGTTAATTAGTACACTTAAATAGAACTTGTATTTACAATAGGCTTCTGATGCGGTTAAGTTTTAATGCCAATTTTTTTTTCAATAACATAATTATATAAATATACTAAAATACAATAAATATTTTTTTTGTTTTGTTTTTACATGGTGAATAATATCTTTACCATAGAGAAAACAAGGCCACAGACATTTACTTACATTTTCAATGGGAATCACCATAAAAAAAGCAACAGGCCTGCCGGCATGCATGAAACACTTCTGCCACAAAGAGACCACAGCAAGACTTTAAAAACAAAACAAAACTGAACAGAACAAAAACGAACAGCAACAGAGAGAGATTTTAACAAAATAAATCTTAGGTCAACGTGAACCACCAAGCGTGTGACTGTGACGCATCCTATCGGGTAAGAGAGAGCCAGTGACCACACAGTTGCCGAAGGTCTCCTACGCGACCACGTAACAGATCTGGCCTGTGCAGGACTTTGAGGTGGCGCGGGGACTCCCTGTTTTAGGATTTTGTCCCTCAGAAGCAAGCTGCGAAAGTTCACGTACAGCAGATATTCGTTACATGTCAAAAATAATTACAAAGACAGCATTTTCAAACGGCACAAAACAAACCTACACTAAAGTCTTCCCTCTTCTAAAGACAGGTGTTCGGGTGGTTCCCTAAGGGGTAGGCTCGGCTCGCTCCAAACGAAAGACTGGACAAAGGGAAATCATTTGCGATGGTGTCTTCATTCCCTGGGTCATGGTGGAAGGCCTCTTTCGCTTACCCCTCGGCCCTACTAAGATGCAGCAACCTCTGCAGGCTTTCTGCTATTCAAGGACTCTGGCCTAGGACATTTTCAGGCTCGGGTAGTGGGCTGCGTGGGTGAGTGGGTTTAGCACTCATTCTCCCTGGGATCCGTGTCTCCCGCGACCACTACTCCGGACTCCCCACTTTACTTCTCCAACCCCGAGAGGGCAGAGGTGAGGCAGGGGCCCCGTCCGTGAACAGACAGGACGGACGGGCAGGAGGCCGCGGAGGCCTTCACTGCGGGGCGTGACTCGCTCGGCGCCGTCCGGGCCTCTTCCATCGCGCAAGGCACCTTCAGGCCTTCGGTGTCCCAGATGTGCAGACACCTCCCCGAAGTCTTGTCTCTGGACAAGATTTTCTCTCGGTAGCCTTGGTCATCCAAACCTGAGTTTGGGGGCCTGTTCCTGTCCCTGCCCCCTTACCAAAAGTCCTCAGAAAAAGACAAAACCCTGGTCTCCTCAAGTCTACTGTCCCAGCCGCAAGCGTTCCTGCCGCAAGCATCTTCTTCCTCCTTGCATCCGTCTCAAGATCACGGTGCCACACTGGGCTCTGAACCTGCTCCAGGCTAATCCAGCTCTAGGACAAATGACCCAGGGGCGCAGAGCTTCAGTCAGCTCGAGTGGGGTCCTCCAGCGAGAACCTCTTAGCACAGTTAGATAATGTAGGCACTTAAAGGGCGAGGTCCAAGCAACGTGACACAGTCATTGCAGAGCCGCCCCTGCAAAGTCCCTCAGAGGCCTCCCTTCCGGAATGTACCGTTGCCCACCCCCACCTAGACCTCAGGATGGCCACCAGAAATTCCTCCTGCACCACCCGGAGATGACGAGTCAGCTCCACGCGGCCTCCAGACGGCTGCTCAGTCTCCTGCCACCGGCAGTGTGGACTCCTGCCCTGATCTAGGCATTTCTGGGTCCGTACAGAGCTCCACCTTCCGCTTGCGAGACCACTCTTAAGCCTTCCCATGATTTTGTTAAGCCTTACAATGATTTACCCGAATGCCTACCCCTCATAAAAAAAGAATCTGTTTTTGTGTTTCGTTGTCTTTCTCTCCTCTTAAAAACAAAAAAAAAAAAAAAAGGAAAAGGAAAAGGAAAAGGAAAAGGAAAAAAAAAAAAAGAAATCACTGTTCTCCATGCTTATAGGAGTGCTACGGTGACAAAATTTGCTCACTTGTTCACAGCAGTGGTAAATTATTTCAGGGCGCGCAACTGATTTTTCTTCCTTTAAGAGAAAAGGAAACAAAGAGGGGACCAGAGGGGGCGGGAGGGAAAGAATGTGCTCTAAGAAAATGTAGGTCTTTCCAACTAAAGCAGCCTCCCCTGACCACGTGGGAGGGCACAGGGGAGCCTAGGAGGTGCATCATGGGAAGTGGGCTGGGAACTTTGTTCGGTTGCCTTAATTTTTTATTCATTTTCCAGTCATCTGACTGATACTGCAAACATCTTTACAATATACAAATAAATCTTTTATCAACCAGAATATATATATTGAAGGAATTCTTTCCCCATCCCTACCCCCTATGGGAACTAAAAAAAAAAAAAAACAAAAACAAAACAAAACAACAAAACAAACAAAAAAAAACACAAAACAAACGAAAAATATACCCCCCATCCCCCATTCCCTAAGCCAGTAAAGCGATGACAACAGCACCTTGACATTGTTTTAATTCCAACGCTATCAGAAGTTAAAAGCAGTAAAACAGAGAATAGTACTAACAAGAACGAAGATACTTACTGTCTAAAATGTAAACGGAATGTTTTGGTTCAAATTTTTGTCGTTTTTTTTTTTTGTCTGTTTTCTGAAAGAGGACAGTTTATTATCGATTCACAATTAAAGCAGCATGCAATTTATTATTATCATTATTATTATTATTATCATTTTTTTTTTTTAGACTTTTTACGTTTTCAATTCTTGGCAACGGCAACAAACCACAACATTATCGAGGAATGTAATGCAGACTTTTTAAAGTTGTGCGCAAAATGACTGTTTCCCTTCTGGTCATGGATATGTCCAATAAATAGATTGTAGAACCACTGTACTGTATAAACTTCATTTATACATGCAGTTCATAAAATTATTTTTCTTAACTGAATAATTTACCCTGTTATGTATATATACAAATAGATAATTTTTGTCTCAATATAATCTATACAACATAAAGCCACTATCTTCCCCTCTTAATGGTCAGTGTACACACACAGGAAGTGTCTATCCTTATGAACCGCCAGCCAATTCTCTTTTTGCTATCCATGGTAAGGGCCCGCACGTACGACTGGGTAGTTCGGCACTGGGAGTTCCAATGCCTTTTGTCTATGCCCCTGCAGCCCTCCTTCGTGTAACCCATGGGATTGCACTTGGTCTCGTAGAAGTACTGCTTCAGTTGGCCTTTCGACACAGGGACTTTTTCGAGGACGGTGACCGTCCCGCCCGACATGTCCACTGCAGTCTTTTTGTCTGCCGCCGTCACCCACTCGCTAATGCTGTCGCACACGCTCAGCTCCCCGCGGCGGGCGGGGTCGGAGTGGCGCCGGACCCTCATGGACATGTTTGCAGCATCCAGGTAATTTTTGTATTCCTCAAGCAGAAAGAGAAGAGGAGGCTCCAAAGGCACTTGACTGCTGAGCATCACCCGGGAGGTATACAAGTCCGCGTCCTTATTGTTCTCTTCATTGGGCCGAACCTTCTGGTCCTCGTCCAACAGCTCTTCTATCACGTGTTCAAAAGTGTCGGCCAACGACGTCAGGCCTCTGGAACCCGCCTTGGGCCCACTCACGCTCTCCAGAGTCCCATGGGTCCGCACACCTGGGTAGGCCAAGCTGCCTTGTCCTCGGACGCTCGCTTCTTTCATGGGGGCAGCCTTCATGCAACCGAAGTATGAAATAACCATAGTAAGGAAAAGGATGGTCATCACTCTTCTCACCTGGTGGAACTGTAGGGAGAAAGCAGAAACAGGACACAGAACTCGTTAGGGCTTTCTCTCGCGAGGATGCAGCGCGGCCACGTGGTTGCTATTCCAGGCCATTCTGCAGGGTCAAGGGTCTTATGCGCTGGTGACAAACTCCAGCTGCACCAGACACCAGCTAACGCCGGCAGCGAGCTCTACGCGGCTTAATAGGTTTAATATAAACCAGGGACTGTGCAGGGTCTGCCGCAAGATGTGGCACTGAAACCTGAGCTTAGATGGCTTCTGAGCGAGCGAAAAAATGGTGGCTTCAAGTTTTCCTCCTTCCTCCCGCTTTAGCAGCTTTGTAAGTTTAATTTTTAATGATCTCTGCTCAGGCTGTCACAGGAAACACAAAATCAGAAATGTTACTAAGCAACAACTGCAAGTGCAATAGTAATTTTCCCCCCAAGTCAGCAACACGGTCCTGCTGCAGGAGCCTGTGACAGACGGGCAGTGGCCCGCGGGGCCTGGGGGGTCTCTGGCTCCGTGGTGCCCGGGCACCGGCGGCACCAGGAGAAAAAAGTCGGGGAGCTGGAAAGGGCCTTTCTTTCCATTGCCTTTCCCCCCCCCTCCTATAGAGATCATCTATCAGAACAAAGCAGAAAGAGAACTCCAGCAAGCTTGGCAGATAAGGAGCCCGAAGGCCTCGGAGGACTCGTTTCCCGGCCCCAAGAAAGTTTACACGAGGGCTTGGGGCTCCCGACTTCGGCTGCCGCGTTCTCCTGCTGCACCTGCGTGGTCACAACTGAAGATGCTTTGCTTATTTCCAAACACACATCATTTTCTACGCGGGGCTGGGGCCGTGCACACAGCACGAGTGCTCCGGGGCGAGCCGGCCACGCCGCCCTCCCGCGGGTCCTGCACCCGCACCGCACCTGTACCTGCACCCGCTGGCCGCGGCAGGCCGGGCCCGCAGGGACGTGTCCGAGCACCTGTCCGGCGCCGGGCAGCACCCTGCACGTTCCCCAAGAGGCAGCGAGGGCCTTCTCTCCACCTCCAGGGTCCCTGGGAGCCCCGAGGGCTGCCCCACGGGCCGGCTGCTGCACCCCAGCTGTCTGTCTGTCTACAGGCAGGCCTGGCAGTGGCCGGCACAGGGTCAACCAACACGGACATACCTACAGGCTGCCCCTCGGTGACCATCACCCGGTGAAGGATGTCAGCGCACTTACCTGGAGCACCGGGTCCCTTAGCAAGACACAGAGGCACCCTCAGCCCCCACCCCCCCAACTATTCCAGCTTCCCGGGCCCGGAGCAAGCGCTTGCAAGGCACACACGTGTCAGGGTGTCGTCCTGTGCCAGCCAGCAGGACAAAGGACGGGGCTCCTTCCACCCAACGGAAGGCACCAACCTACCTCCACGCAACAGGCCATACTGCTGGTTCCGACAAACGAGGGTTTCCGTTCTCGGCTCTCACAGGAGACCACGAAGAGACAACCCCAAACACCCACAACTTTCCTGGTGGATCCACTCTCACTTTGCACCAACAGCAAGCACACCCAGGCCCGTCTGGAGTACCCGAGGGTCCCGGGGCAGGAGGGCCCACGGGTTTGAACGAGCCACAGATACCCATGCCGCAAACACCTGAACTTTTTGTGCACGTTCTGGATTCTGCACCATCAAAGAAGCTTTCTGGTCCTGGCAGGTGGTATTGACACCACTGGATGGAAATCCTTCCCCCTGATGTTCCCAGCTCAAATTAAAACAACCCAAGGGCCACCTCAATGTAGGTCGAGGAAAGAATGCACATTTAGAGTACTGTACTCCAGCGGTCTGTATCACCCTGGTAGAGACTGGCTGCGATCAGTTATCTTTTAATACGATTTATTTCATTATATCTAAAATGCTGGCGTTATAAGACACACCATTTTATGTACCACCAGAAATAAAGAATGTAGTCAATTAAGCTATTGCTTCCTTTTTTAAATTTTATCATATTCATTCATGAGAGACACAGAGAGAGAGAAGGAGAGACACAGGCAGAGGGAGAAGCAGGCTCCCTGCCGGGACCTGATGTGGGACTCGATCCCGGGACTCTGGGGTCACGCCCTGGGCCGAAGGCAGACGCTCCACTGCTGAGCCACCCGGGCGCCCCTAAACTATTGCTTTCTTTATGGCTGGGAACTGTTACCATGTACTTACTGAGGAGCTCTTTGAGACTTATTGGGACACATTTTATCACATATAATTTTTCTGCAGATGTAACAAAAGAAAACTAAGCAAAATAAATTGGTTAAGGCGATGACAGCTGTGATATCCTACCTGTGATTCCTACCTGGCCGACAAGAACAGTAAAATGACATCAACTGTAGGATACAACCCATTCCAGAGATGTTAAAGATACGATTAAGAAAATGCTCATCTTAGAATTAATGAAAAAGAGTATGTTTCATAGATATTTACTAAGTGCCCACATGAGCTCCTTAAAATGACCCGAAGCACTCAGGCATCTTCAGCTGCAGAGTGGGGCAGCTGTCTCATCACCACCGCTACAGTAAGGAGTCTTTGAATGATACCTTTCCTACACTGGGCTTCAAGAAGTTTACTCTGCTTTTCACTGCTCTCAGCTTTTTACTAATAACTTCTTGGTTATCAAAGTATATATACCATTTTCTCAGCTCTTCCATAAGTAAATATTTCAGAAGAACAAAAGGTTCATCCTGAAGCCCCAAGGGGGGCGTCCTTCAAGGCTGGACATCTGCACAGACGAGTAACCAAGGACCTGGTGCTGAAGTCCACCCACAATGGCCAGCCCTGCCCAGACGGACACTGCCCAGATGTTGCCCGCCGACCCGCCCACAAGGCCTTGTAATGTATCCAGCACCGAACTCAGTCCTTTTTTGTGGGGGCCACGTTCCTTCCTCATTCTTTTGCTTCTGACAGTGATTTCTGAATGCCTGGGCCGTCCAGGCTGAAGGTGAGAGATCTTGGAATCAAGTCTGACCGCACGTTTTGGGTGTGGTCTTCAAATCCAATCAGTGAAGAAGTCCTGCTCATTTTTCCTTTCAAACACGTTTCTCATCCATCCCACTGCCACCCTCTTGGCTCAGCTCTCACCCCCTTTCTTCAGGATGACGATGCCCCCCGATGTACCTCACATCCTTTCTGCTCCATCCAACTATGATGACCACTGGCTGACTCACCACTCTTAACCTTGTCATTCTCTTAGAAAAACCTGCAATGGCACTTCTGTTCCACTAGATCCTACCCAACCTCTTTTACCAAGCTGGGTATTCACTCTTCAAAACCCGGATTTAACCTTACTCACCTCTGCTCTGATCAGACCAGAGTCCCTGGAGCCCCGTACACATTATGGCCTGGAAGTGACTTGTCCCATTCTTCGGGCCAACTCTTTTCTCTCTATCTGACTAAGTCTTGTTTATCCTTCACAGCCCATTCAAGCTTCAGCTCATATGCGCCACCTTCTCTAATCGCCCTGCACACGCTGCCCTCCTTGTCTTCTAAAATTTGCACACTACATCTCACCTCGTACCTGGTTCCCTACTCGCTTGTTAATTGTTAACAATGTTTGCGAACCATGGCCGGTCTGCAGTTAGATGATAAGCTCTCTGAGGGAATGAATCATGTCTGACCCAACTAATGCTTAACACAGAATAATATCATAGTTCTCAGGGAAAACTTACTAATGGGTTTCTTAAACCATGAGGAAAGACAGTTTTGACCTAATTTTCATGGGAAGTCTTTCCATTTAGAAAGCACCAGTGAGCCCACTGGAATTATCTGGCCACGTACAGGTCATGCTAACCCCAAATTATAGGCTCTAAGGGACCCGATAGATGTCAACGATCAGCCACGAGGAATCTTTTTAGCTTCTCCAAAGGGGAAAGCTTTACTTGAAGAATTTCTAAAAGCAAATGACATGATATCATACGAACTGCCCCTATTTCTGTAGCTCCGTTTTTAATAGAAGCCCTTGGAAAAGCAGCCAGTGATAACAATGATCGCGGCAAAGCTTGGGCTTTTTAGTCTTGTAACTGCCTCTTTTGCCTTTAACCTCTTCAGTGAGTGATTTTAGACGTTGTAATAGGGAATCCCAAAAGCAAGTAAGAGCTTCCATGACAATTCCTGACATTTTAGCCACTCAGTCGAGTCTTCATTACGCTAGAGATAAAGAGGTGATGTGTAATGCTGCTAAGGAGACTGTTAGTCTATACACCTGTTGATATGCAATAAAACAACTGGTGCTAATTTTGCTCCAAGGTTTACAACAATCAACTCCATCATACCTATAAGATGCTAGGAAGGAGTTTTTTGGTTTTTTTTTTTTTAGCCCTATTCTCAAAAAATTAAATATAGTACACAGGGCTAAAAAGAAAATCGGCAAAATGGAAGGAAAGTTTAGTTTAAAGCATGACTCCGAAGTCTTCAACATTCAACCAGGTGAATATCCAGGACAGGATGCTGTAGCAACGACTTACATTTGTCTAAAAGACTACAGCACACTCACAAGTATGATCTAACTTGATTGTGACAAGGAGGTAAGACAGGGTATTATTATCCACATTACACAGATGAGACAATTATGGTTCAGAGAGGTTAACAGGTTACCTCTTTGTCCAGGTTTTCACCATCAGGACCCGCTGCCGGGTTTAGAATATGTAACCACAGGGAGAAGAGAGGCTCTGCTACAAAGAGTGGCCAGAGGAGGAGCTTTTAAGATGTGGCCACGGTTCTCTGCAGGTGTGTCTACCCTGGAGCCCAACTTTCTAAAGGCAGCACCTCTGAGATACTACTTTGTAGTATTGGATTAATTGTGACCTAGAAGTCCCTTCCACTTTAAGGCTTGATTATTTCAGGGGATGGAATTTCAGACAACATGGTCTTCCTCTAAAGGAAAACTCTGCAAAAAATTTAGGCATGCTAGATAGAACAACACTTCCATGGCCAAAGCTAGGAAGGGAAAGCAAAAGCAACAGGGGTAATTCAGGCACACAGAAGAAAAAACACATCCTTAGAGTTTTGTCTATGAGCATGCTATCAAAGCAAGCAGTTTAAAGATAATGGCTGCTCAGCGTAGTCCTATAAGCAACAAGGATAATGGTACTGTTGATGAAATCATCAATTAATAGTTAATTCCTGACATATATGATGCAAACCTATTCAAAGACCACCTTAATGCAATCTTGCAGATCAATGTAAGATGTAAAATCTTTAATTTGTATCCAGTTTCACTACGTGCATAGATTAGCCTTTGCTTGTTCAATCATCGTACAAGGAATCTAATTCCAAATGTTACAGTGTAGGAGGGAAGTAGGACATATATTTAAGTAACTAAAACAGAAAGGTAGACACAATCCAGGAAAAGTAACGAAAAAATTCTATAAAGAGAAAGAGGTTACTTCCAGTTAGAGAATGAAGAATGCTTTGTGAAGAGGAAGGCAAAGGATGGGGATGATTTAGACGTGTCCAGAAAGGACGCTGACGGATGGATGGAGGCTTGGTTAGAATCATGGAGTACATTTCCCCAGAGAAGAGCTTTGGAAGAGAGTGGCGAGAAATAACAGAGAGTGACTGTCAGATTCTGGAAGGCTCTCAGGGTGATGCTAACGAGTCTGGATCTTGCCTTATAGGCATGGGAGAGCCAGTGAGAGTTTCTGAGCAGGAAAATGCTTCCAGAGAGCCAGTTTATCACCAGGTGTAGGGGGACCTTGAGTAACAGAGTGGGACAGACCAGTTAACTGGCTGGTTTTCTTCTCAGTAAACTTTAAAAATAAATAGCGAGGGGCACCTGAGTGGCTCAGTCGACTCTTGATTTTGGCTCAGGTCATGATCTCTGAGTGGTGAGGTTGAGCCCTATGTCCAGCTCTGTGCTAGGCATGGAGCCTGCTTAAGATTCTCTCTCTCTCTTCCCCAGCCCTGTGTGCACATGCGCTCGAAAGAAAGAAAGAAAGAAAGAAAGAAAGAAAGAAAGAAAGAAAAGGAAAGAATTAGTGAACAGTTACTTCAGTGTGAGATTGGGGTTCTGGGCTTGGGTATATCTTTTAACTTATTTCTATCTTCTATTTCTCTACTGTTAGGCTGAAGTGAGTTGCAAAAGCAGAAGGGGTTGGAGAGAAGTGTGCAGGGATGAGTGGTACCCACGGGCCAGGTCTAGGTTGGCTGAAAGAACACCATGGAGCGAGGCAGAGGGAAGACGGGAATCGAAACTCTCATTCCAATTATAGTTACACTGAACTTGGATTCCACTGCTCAGCACTTTTAATTCAAAGATCTCTAAACACTTTGCAAATATTAACTAATTAAGACTCATAGGACCCCAGAGGTGCAGGTAACTATAATTATCCCCCTTCTGTACAGGAGGAAAGAGGACCAGAGTTTTTAATCAACTCATCCACTCGCTGTGGTTCCCCTGATAGAACAAGGTCAGAACCTGAGATTCCAAAGGAAAACTAGGCCTTCAACTACAGAGACCAGTTTCTTTCATCCCTCTGCATTATTTTCCCATTAGGTATATACTGCTTGGCTGAGAAGAATAAAAACGACAACAACAACTCAAAAACAGAAAACTTCATATTCCTCAAAGAAAATACTTGGCAGTTGGCATCCATAAATAAGACAGCTGTGGGGGCCTAATGATCATGACAGATGCTCACCTACTTGCCTCAATGACCAAGCAATTGAAACCAATAAATATTTTAGGAAATGAAATCTGATAATGCAGATGTTCCAAAGCTATGGAGGAAGTGCCTTTAAAAATAAAATTTTTAACCATAATGTATTTTACGTTCATGTGCAACCAATTATGCTTTCTACACAACACAGTCCCTCATACCAGAGTACACTCTGATCCCCTAGTATGCCCCACGGAGTTGTGGCATTTGCAGACACAGAGTGTCTTACTCAGAGTGCCAGAGAAACTGCTGGTTCTTACAGACCCAGAATAATACAGACACATAATTATCATGTAAAAAAGTATAGCCCCTTGAATTACTAATTTGATAGATAAATTTACATACCTCTTTTGATAGCAAGCATATAGCTCTGATCCTCTATTAACACCTTTTATTCCATATTCCATCCTTGAAAAAAGCAAAAATCTTTCTACTGGCCAGAGACTTAAGTCACCCAGGAGTAAAGCAGGACCATAGTCTCCAGTAGGATGGGGATGGGTCTTCAAACTCTTTGAATTACAATTTGTACAGTACCTTGTATAAAGTAGGTTCCCACACAGGCTAAATGACTCTCTTCCCTTCGCGCTGGTAATACTCGTGTAGTATTTAGGGAGGTGAAATCAAAGTAAGAATGGTAAGTCTTAAAATGAGATGGAACAAGTTTTGGAATAAGGGTAGGAAATGCCTGGCACAAGGACCAGGTCCAGTCAGAGATCACCCAACCTGCCATTCCAATCCCAGGCACGGCTGTCACCATCCAAAGGTCCCTAAGTTCCTCTAACACTACTGCCCCAAGAAACCTACTCTTCTACTGTAACCAAGGAAGAACCCCTGAAAGCCAGAGCTACCCACAGCTGGCAGCTCACCTAAGCCCTGCCCCTGACCTTCACCTCCTCTTCAGAGAGCAATCCCACCCAAACAGTGCACGTCTCTGTAATAGAGTTTCCAGCACACACAGGTCACTGGCCTATCAAACGAATAGATGGATTCAAAATTTTGCTTTTTAAAATACATTTTTAACTCCTATTAAAAATATTCTATTTATATATTTATTTATTTTGAGAGAGCAAGTGTGCAAGCTCACGTGGGCAGGGGGAGGGTCAAAGGGGAAGGGAGAAGCTAGAGAATGCCAAGCAGACTCGTGCTGAGTGTGGAGCCCGATGCTGGGCTCGATCT